GTATGAATATATGTATACATATGAATATATATAATCTTTTATCCTTTAAAAATCTTTAGCTTTCAATTTCAAGAAAAGCTTTTAGCCAGAATCAATGGTACCATTCGCGTGCGCGTGTTATCCCATGGGAGGGGGGTGGATGACATAACTGACATAACGTTTTGAGCACTTAACACTTAACACTAACTGTCTTGTTTTATCTTTTCATCAGATATGGTTAAAATCTATTAGCATTTCAAAGAAAGAGGGCTTTTGACGCCCACAATAATTATTTGAGTTGTTGCTAGACGGGTTTTGTTTCTGCCCACCCTCCGATCCCCCCCCCCCACACTGCTGCATAGTGTGCGTGTGTTGCCTTGTTGAATATTGGTGATGAAGTTGCTGCTTTCGTTTTATAAATTGTAAAACTTTGTGATTCTTTGGTTGACGCTGCATGGTTTTTCGGGATTTCGATATGTTCCGACGATCATAGAAGTACCTCGGGATCCGTGACGAAGGGCAGACTGTGGTGGATAACTTGTAAGCACTCACGTTAATGTTTTCCCCAGGCCATTATCGTATGTGTCAATTAGAAAACTTCAGGGGGAAAACGACGGTAGTCACACACAGAAATTCGTGAGGGTACCAATTTTGAACGCTCTGTTGCTTCGTAACTGTATTTCTGTTCAACTGTTGGTTGATTATTGTTGTTAGATTTACCATTCTACAACATTTCACAATAAACCACCAGTCAAACAAATATGAAGTTATGAGTCCACAAGCTTTAAAAAATTGGCACCCTCAAAATTTCTAGTTTGAGACTACCGTCGTTTTTCTCCGGTGCTTCTCTTATTATTACCAAGTCTATTATTAGCTACATTCTTCTAATTGTTTGGAGGTTCTGATAGCATACGGATTTAATTAGGGCGACAAAAACTGCTTATGTCCTCACTTAGAAGCGGCCCCCATGATGTGATATTTCAGCATACCTTTATTAAACGTTAAGGACCACGATGACGACTTGGTTCAACATTAATTTTGGCCGCTCGCATCTAGAATCTAAGCGAGGAGTTTGGAATGAATGTTGTGTGGAGATCTAGCTAAGGCACCAAATGAAGAAATACTAAGTAACACCAAGATAAATCCAGCACTTTGTTCATCATCATCATCGTCATCATCATCATCATCATCATCATCATCATCATCATCATCATCATCATCATCATCATCATCATCATCATCATCAGTGCTTGCAATTGG